CCCCAAAACCCCAAAACCCCTCAATACTATATAGAGATAAAGTTAATTCTGTTTATACTAATATAAAAGAAAGTACTTTAAGTTAGTTAGTTGATTGATAATTATCTGATTTATAAAGATTAAGATTTCAATTTAGATCTATTTTGACAACTTTAAGAGGGTTTATTGTACCCTTAAACTCTTTAAGCATTTGATCTCTGGGTTTATAGTCCGAGTAATCTCGCTTCATCTTTTATTGCAAGTCTTGATGAGTCCAATCCTACTGAGTGAAACCTATTTCATCAAACTTCTTGCGAATGGGAGAAGGCTTGCGTCCACCTGTATTCATACATTAATCAAAGAGGTCTGAATACATGGGATCATTCATTCTTTTCTAATCATAGAGGTTGTCATAGTCAATGAATTTTCTAGATGAGGGCTAATGATGAGAATAATCTCGAGATCCTTCAAAGACATTTGATGAGAGCATCTTCTATCTCTCTTTGAATGGATCTATTTTAACCACCTTTGGTGCTGTGTAAGTCTTTTTGTTGTTTAAAGCGTTTTTCCAATTAGCTATAGTAGCTAGTTAGGCTTTTTCTAGTTTGACATCGCTAGCTCGATTACTTTTATCTTAATTTTCCTTGAATAAATTAGAGGTAAGGTTGTTCATCTTCCTATCAGCAGAACTAAGATGTCCCGAATTACTTCTCTAAGAAAAACCGCTGTGTACACTTAAATTTCCCTAGACTTTTGGAATGACTAAGTTTTATGTCTTGCTGAATTGATTTCTTCCATTAGTCTATCTCAACTACATATTCTGAATATTCTGTGTAGTAGACAGTTTATTCAAGTTATCGGTGCTAAGTTTAACCTCTGAGCTCCTCACTTATTTCTATGCAGAGTCCCTGTTATGCAAATTTATATTTTTGATTTGAGTCCCACCCTTTTACCCCATGGCTATTTCACTCTGTCCAAATAACTTCTGCCTTTATTTCTCAACCTGTCTTTGGTACTTCCTTGCTAAATGTCTCTAATATCTATCAAAATCGCGTTTTAATCTTTCCTCTTAAGTCATGTTAGGGTCTCTCTTGGACATACTTGTGCTTTGACTCATTTAGCCAAATGATGTCACTGATGTAGCTAATGAATATACTGATGTAGTATCTGAAAAGTCATTATATCTACTTGAGTTCATGCTCATCATTGATCTATTCTCCCAGTTATTTTGATTGTTGTAAGCTCTTTGTGTATTATTCTTATTCTATTTAGACTGCCCAAATATGTTATTCTAGCCATATTCGGAAAGCTTTTTCTGTCTTGCTTCGTTCATTTTGTTTACTCTTTTTTTAGACCTTGCAAATAATACTTAAGTAAATTAAAATTAATTTATTACTCTGCAGTGATTAGATCAAATAGTCATTTTTAATCTCTACCTATGGGGTTTTGGGGTTTTGGGGTTTTGGGG